CTTTCACTTGTAATGTTTCTTGGCAAAAAACTTGTATAATTTTTTTTATTCAAGCTATTAATAACTTATTTTTGTTTTAATTTAAATAATTACAAAATGTGTATAATATGGCATAAAAATATAATTTCTATTTATTAAAATATAAATTCACTTGACTATTTGCAGCTAAAGAAAGAATTTAACTAATTTTCAGACTGAAGTATTGATGCAAAAAAACGATTAAAATTTGAAGTAGGTTATTGAATTAAATAAAATTTTTATGATTTTAAGCATTATTATCCTATTAATAGAAAGTACATGCTACATTAAAAATGATTTTACATTTAGTTTTAATTTTTTTTAATATTATTTTTTTTTTTTTGTTATGTTAATGTCATAGTTAAATGAAAATAAAACAAGAAAAATTGGCGAAACAAATTTCATAAAAAAATAATACTTGTCAATATATTATTATTATTAAAATTAAGAAAACTAGTGAACTTCAGTCAGAGTACAAAGTAGATATTTAACTTCTTTTACGATTTTATCCACTTTTCCTTGATTTTATAAAATTTGTAATTGTTTTTATACAATCTAAATTTGTACTAAGGTGCTAAGAAATCCAAGAGCTCTATTATTTCTTTCTTTTCAATTTTAAAATATAGCTGCATTTGCAGCTATTCATATAATAATTTATCGCTTTTTTATATAAGATATAAATTTGCTTTCGATAATTCTATATAAAACTTCTGTACTGCTATAACGAATTATTCCGCATTAACCTAATAGAATCGGTAATCTTATAAAAAAAGTATATGTAATTGAAATATTAGAGGATATACCATAATCACATAGGATTGTGTACATTGCATAACAAAAAATATTCAGACAAAGAGGAGGATCCAGAGAGTCCGAGGGTGCTTAGGCATATCGAACTGATTGACGACGAAGCTGCGGAATACGGAATAAAGATCGTCAGGATGAAAGATCGGCTAGTGGCGAAGAAATATGGTTTTCGAAATCCACCAGGCATCACTTACTTTCGCAAGGGTAAGAGCATCAATTATGATGGTGACATTGACGACGAGGAGGAAATCCTTGACTGGTTGACCAATCCGGAGAATATGGAACTCACCGATCACATAGAACGTATCAACAAGAAGATGTTTCAGAAAGTGCGACAAACGACCGATTATCTAGCCGTATTTTTTTGTGAGTCAATATATAATTAATATAATACAGCTCAATAAAAACAATTATATATGCAT